TATAATTATAGTATGTATTTGTGATTAAGCTATAGCATGTGTGCATTTATACTGAATGATTTTTACCATTTTTACCATGGTATTGAGGTGCTATTTGTGTGGTTTTTACTGTGTTTATTCAAGCTACTATCAAATGTGCATTTTTAAGAGACAAAAAGTGATATTATTATTATTATTAATATTATCAGGCAACCCAAACCTGTTTCTTGATTTGAAACAATATCACTCATTAGAACATGCACAAACTAAGAAAAAATATATATACAGTATATTTTTTTTATTTAGATATTTATTTTGTTAAGGAAAATTAATTAGTTTCTACAACTTTCACTTTGGAGCAAAAATCTGGCTTTAAACTTGAAAAAATACAGATTTGACATTTATCGTGATAATTATCGATATCGACTGATATGAAAAAAATTATCGTTATAATTTTTTTGGCCATATCGCCCAGTCCTACTTCTATGTATATTAAGTCTTGAGTGTCCTATCAGACATTGTGTGTAAATGACTTGATCCCAGTGATTATTGAAGTGGAATATATGTTTTTTCCCAAAATCAAGATTTATTTCATGTAATTTGTTGTTTAAGCACTGATCCCATTTCGATGGCCATTTATTTTTGGTGTATACATTTAATGTTAGTTTCAGATCTGTGAAACGTATAGAGCATTTTACTGATTCTGTAGATCAGCCAATGAATAAAAAAAAAAAAAAATGTAACTGCAACTTTTTCATCTCACAATTCTGTTATTTTTCTCGCAATTTGCAAATTTACATCTCGCAATTCTGACTTTTTTCTCCAAACTGTGTGACAAACTCGCAACTGTGAATTATAAAGTCAGAACTGCAGGATATAAACTCGCATTTGCGAGAAATAAAGTCAGAATTGTGAGATATAGACTTTTTTCCTTGCAATTGCGAGTTTATAATCTCACAATTCTGACTTTTTTTCTCAGAATTATGAGATCGAAACTTGCAATTGTGAGTGGAGCAACTGCAGCTGAATAAAAATGGTAATTATGACTTTTTATCTCACAATTCTGACTTTTTTCTCACAACTGGTTTTCTCAGAAGTGTAAGATTTCAATTCACAATTCACAATTCCTTTTTATATCTTGCAATTCTGAGAAAAAGTTGCAATTACCTTTTTTTATTTTTATTCAGCGGCTTTATTTCAATTAAAAATTTTTTTTTTTAAAGTTCAAATTTTAATAACCTTGATATGAAGTCATTGACAGTTATTGGCTGGTATTAGTTGCTTTATCTGCATCAGACTATTGATATTTGCTGGTCAATATCTAATTGTGGACTGCCTGTTTTTATATTTTATATGGCTTTTGCTGTCATCTTGCTCTAATTAAAGGGATGGCACTATACATATGACAAAAACTGAAGTAATTTTGAAGATTTATTTGACAGTACAAAAACGACTGATTTTAGGTTTTAATAAGTTTATTTTAACAGCTTTTATGTATTTTGGGTCTGTTGCTCACACAAAGTCATCCATGCAAAACTATTCAAAACTAGTTTAACAAGGTTTGGGGTCAGAGAGATTTTTTTTTTACATTTTTGACAGAAGTCTCTTATGCTCACCATGGCTGCATTTGATTAAAAATACAGTAAAAACTGTAATATTGTGTAATAGTATTACCATTTAAAATAACTGTTTTCTATCTTAACATATTAAAATGTAAAATGTAATTTATTCCAGAGATGCAAAGCTGAATTCTGAGTACTGAATTTTCAACAGCCATAATTTCAGTGTTTGGCGTTGCATGATTTTTGCTGCTTAATATTTTTGAGGGAATCATAATGTATTTTTTCAGGATTATTTCATGAATAGAAAGTTCAAAACAAATTTCCGTAACATTATAAATGCCTTTACTGTCACTTTTGAACAACTGGCCTGCAAAAAGCTTGCTAATGTGGCTTGTCCTCTGTGGATTTAGTGATCTCTCACCTGAAGGAAGAGCTTGTAGATCATGGCTTGCAGCTTTTTAACGTCCTCACACATGATCAGCTGCTTGGCTTTACTCCGCACGGCAAAAATGTCCTCATTCAGAGGTCCACTACAGAGAAGACACACAAAAACAAGTGCTTCTGTATGAGCAAATGTCAGTGTTTGGACACACAACACAACTGGCGCGCTCCTGAGCCGGCTCTTACATGCGAACTTTGTGCCTGCCGATGATGAAGGCCACCTTACGGCTCCAAGGGTTGATGAAGCTGGACCAGCTGGAGTCCAGGGTGATGTAGTCGCCGTTCTGACACCGAAAGCGGATGGGCGAGTGTTCAAACGGAGGCTGGCCCGCGTACTTCAGAACTGAAGGGATCAGGACAAATTTTATTAAGACCTTATACAAGTCTGATAAAGACTTTACAATGTAGAAAAGTCATAAGAGATGTACGTACTTTTGCGGTGCATGGCCAGCATGAGCAGGCGGTCATCTGGATGAAGGCAGGACAGAACTGAGGTACCGATCAGGTCCTGAGGGAGGTAGCCGAGCAAAGGCAACGCTCTGCGAACACACACGACCAACTAACACATGAGGAAGAATTTCACAGTAGCTACTTTACCACAAGAAAATGCATTTGTTTCAAGTCTTTGCCGCTAAAATGCTCGTCTTATGCTATTGATTAAACGTGATGTTTGAAATCAGTCCAAGTCAAGTGTTATTTGTACTGTAAAAGACTTTCAATTCTAGCAAGATACTGAACTAATGTAGCTGATCAACTTAAAACTACTTCATGGTCGTGTGGTTAAATAAGGGCTAGCATAACACCCAGTGAGTACTGCAGAATAAACCTTAAATCCTTTTATGCTTTTTCACTTTTTCAACTTTAGTTAGTCTGTGATGTTGCTGTTTGAGCATAAAAAAGATCTGCAGTTACAAAGTTCAAAGTCCACTTCAAAAGGAGATATTTTATTTAACAGAAATCACTTTTCAAAAACTACAACGAACGACTTGTTTGGACTACAACGCATATTTTCCGGGATTTGTGATATCACAAATACCAACGAATGGGACGAGACCTGGTTGAGCTGCACTAGAGAAGGCAACGAGTGTTATCACTATGTCGTAGATACGCTAGCTTTCCCAAGGCAGACTTAAACTTAGAGTGGTTACAATCATCCAGGTTTAAATCGCGCTCAAATTGATTTGATTTTGACGCAATATTTACTCTGAAGCTTGCAGGCGGCTATGGTAAAGGGCGTGACATTTCCCGACCAGGTGCCGAGTGCTGCTAATAACAACACACACTGGCCCAGCTAACCAATCACAGCACATTTCGTATTTCAGAAGGTGGGCCTTCATTTGATACAGGAACTATTCAAGCCGTTCATGCCAGACTGGGGAGAGAGGTGTTGTAATAATGTAAAATATGTGAAAAATAATGTGTTTTTCGAACAACCTAGTATGAGAGCCTGTTCTAGTACACCCCCAAAACAAAATCAAGACTTTGTAAAAGAGCATAATAGGACCCCTTTAATGTGAAGCTGCTGACTGAACATTACTAGTTTATTTGGTTAGCAGCCATGTAAGAAGTCGGAAACTTTTTACAGATACTTACTAAATAAACAAATACACGGATAGACATTGATTAGAGTTGAAATGATTATTATTAAAATGATTAATTTTTAATTTAAAGAGATGACAAACAAGCAACAGGACAAACACTTTATTATTACTATTACACTATTATTATTACTAATGTTGCTCAGCTTTACTCAACATATGTGCAACATATTTTATACTTCTACTACTACTACTACTACGCTGCTCAGCCATATTCTGTGCAACATTATATTTTCAAATAATAATAATAATAATAAGCTGCTCATCTATACTCTGTGCAACATAATATTTAATAATAATAACAACAACAACGTGCTACTCAAGAGCATACTTTCAAATAATAATAATAATAATGAATAGATAATAATAATGACAACAATGTGCTACTCGGCTTTACTCCATGCAGCTAATTATTTTAAAATAATTATAATAATCATAATAATAATATTATTATTATATTTAATTATTATTATTATACTATTTGCAACATAATACTTTCAAATAATAATAATAATAAAAAATAAATAATAATAATAACAACAATGTGCTACTCAGCTTTAATAAAAAAATATATATATATGCCGATTAGCTTTACTCTATGCAACGTATTATTTTAAAACAACAAAAATAATAGTGCTGCTCAGCTTTACTCCACGCAGCATATTATTTTAAAACAATAATAACAATTTATTATTATTAAATAAACACATGACCATTTGCCCAAGCTGCCGATTCCTTTACTAAAGGTCAAAATCACTCACCGGTCATCCACTTCTAAAAAGACACAGCCTGGCGAATGAGTCGTGCTGAATATGCGCTTGTCCATGGGAATGCGAGGGGCTGGAGACAAAGCAACACGCAAACACACACAAATAACGATCATTTGATCAGACAGCCAAGAGTAAAAGCAAAAAAGACATTTCACTTAACACTAAACTAACAATGCAGAATAACCATATTTCATTCCGGCAGAGTTAAACAAGTAACATATTCAGGTCATGTGACAATAAAGTACTGCACTACTGTTTGAGAACGTGGCGAGGTGAAAGGTACCCTCGTATCCTGAGATGATGCGCTCGGCCAGGGCCAGACAGCACGGCTCCTCCTCTCCGCTCAATCCCTGAACCTTCAGCAGGTGCGGAGTGAGCCGGAAAGGACTATAACGCATTTCTCCATCTCTATCCTTCCCTCCTCTGAACACACACATAGAAAAACGTTTAAAAGACACACTTAATATTCAGTAATATTATCAGTTTAACTGCATTGACAACAGAGAGAACAAATGAGAAGAACTGAACAAAAATTAACGGGATAATGATTCTATTAGCCTCTGTAGAGCTGCTTCATAGATTTAAAAAAAGGGGCTTAAGGGGGAAGTCTTGGCCTAATGGTTAGAGAGTCGGACTCGTAGTCGTAACCCAAAGGTTGCGGGTTTGAGTCTCGTACCGGCAGGGATTGTGGGTGGGGGGAGTGAATGTACAGCGCTCTCTCCCACCTTCAGTAACATGACTGAGGTGCCCATGAGCCCCCAACTGCTCCCCGGGCGCTGCAGCAAAAAATGGCTGCCCACTGCTCCGGGTGTGTGTTCACGGTGTGTGTGTGTTCACTTTGGATGGGATAAATGCAGAGCACTAATTCCGAGTATGGGTTACCATACTTGGCCACATGTCACGTCACTTTCACTTTTCACTTTCAAAAAAAAAAGCTTGTGATGAACATTGCACTATTATTGAGCTAAACTGAATCAACAAGCTGAATAATTGAAGGACGTTACTGAAGGACTATTGTCTTGTTTATTACTGTGAAGCTGCTTTAAACCAATCTGTATTGTAAAAAGTGCTACATAAATAAATGCAATATTAATGAGACACAGATGAGAATGAGTAATAATGCTGTACAAGGGGCAATTCTGATAAGGTGAAACACACTGACCTGATTCGACAGAAGAAGGACTTGACCTGGGCGCATTCAAACAGAACCGCCGCTACAGAGAGACAAAGAGGAATAGCATCTTTCATTCTTAAAATGAACATTTCAATTTATCAAAGATGTTTGCATTATTCAATGCATGTGCAATATCAGTGAAAGCCTCCAGAGCGACTCACCGCTGTCTGTGCCCACGTTCCAGGGCGGCAGCCACGGTTGCGCCGTGTGCGAGTAAAACACATTGACGTCCTGATGGTACAGCAGCTCCACGAACTTGACAGATTCCAGAAACTTCCTCTTGCAGTGAAGCACACTGGAGGCCTGTTCGGACGCGTAAACCACCTTCCCGGAGGTCAGAGAATAGACCACCACAAACGTGTCCTGAGAACACCACAGAACTCCTTGTATATGTGAACTCCTTCCACAGAGACGGAACTCATTAAAGGAATCGTTCAACCAAAAATGAAAATTCTGTCATCATTTACTCCAACCCTTAAGTTGTTCCAAACATGTATGTGTTTATATACAGATATTTTGAAGAATGTTGGAATACTATGGAAGTCAATGGGGACCAGCAACTGTTTGGTTCCCAACATTCTTCTCAGATCAGAAAATCTTCTTTTATTTTCAACAGAAGAAAAAAACTTTTTGGAAATAAAAATGACAGAATTTTCATTTTTGAGTGATTTATCACTTTAAGGCAAGACCTCACAGGTGAATAGAGTAGATATCACTAGGGTTGGGTATCGTTTGGGTTTTTTCGATACCGGTGCCAAATCAATACTTTTAAAACGGTTCCAGTGCCTAAACGGTGCCTGAACTGATACTTATTAAAAAATAAATAAATAAAAATTCCCCAAAAAATAATGGATTGGCCATTAGCACTATAAACACATGATGTCTGTTTCATTCATACTGGACGCTAGAGGGCGCCCTCGCACAGAAAATCCACATATCCAGTCACAGAAGTAGCAAACTCATGACCTCCAGGAAATCCCTTATATGGACAAAGGCACCACGCTAGATTTGTCGCTAGTCGCTTTTTTGGAAAAAAGTCGCCAGGGGGGTCTGAAAAGTCGCTAAGTTGGCAACACTGCTAGTTAACTGATTACATTAAAAATTGCAACCCAAACTTTCTGAAATGTAATGTTTTAATATACAAATGAGATATTATCTAATTAAAGATGCACTAATCTGCATACAACTGGAGAACAGAAATCAGAACATTTTATATAGCCACGTTCACAATTATTGTTTCATTTTATCGACATATTAGAGTGAAAGATGTTTACAGAGGGGATTTCGAATATCTCTTTTTATCACTTATATAAATCAGAACATATTGACAACAGACAGAACAAAACAAGTATATGATCCACGTTTTAAGGAATAAAAAGTTGTAAATTAGGCAAATGATATATAAACACAAAATTATTTTAGCATCACTGAGATACTATTATGGATTTGTTAATATTTTTTATTAGATTTTATTTTTGTATTTTCTTTTATGTTCTTTTAGATAATTTTTTAGAAATTTAGTAGTTCTTTTTTTTTTGTAAATGTCTATATAATTTTTATTTTTACTTCAGTTTTAGTTTGATATTTTAGCACATCAAGTTAAACTTAAATGAACATTTTGAATATCTTATTAACATTTATTTTAAGTTGAGAATTTTTTTTATGGTTTAAGTTTAAATTTTTTGTTTTAGCTAACTCTAATAACTCGCAGGAAAAAACCCCTGTGTAAAAACCTTCAGAATATAGACAGAAATAAAACCATAAAGTTTGGTGTAAGTGCTGCTGAAGTGGACATTTCTGACTTCTGAAAAACCCAAGAGAAAACCGCCCTTAAAGACAGGTATTGCAGTTCAAATCTACAGATGCAAATAGATACAATAGAAAAGTGTATTTTGGAATTTTTCCTTCCACTAGTCTGAACAACACATAATGAAAAGCCAAATAGCCCCAAATCTCAAAACTGACCAGTGAAAACAAACACGGCTTTGAGAGGAAACTCAGCAGGACATACCGTGTTTTTCAGCGTGTGTTCTGATGTGATTCCCTCCAGCTCCTCCAGCGTGCACACAGTAGCGTCTCGTCTCTCCTCCAGTCCGCTGCTCATTAGTAAGTTGTAGTACTCACTGTTTGCTGCAGGGGGCGGCAGAGGAAGAGTACAAATGAGCCGAGCATGAGAACCACAATCTTTTAATTAATCAGTGTTTGATTTAAACAACAGAGCAGGTGGCTCACAAGAGACCATGCCAGATATTACAACACCAGACTACTGGGAAATTTCACATAGCATAACATCACAGACTGAATAATGACATTTATTTCAAGTGATGGTAAATAAACATAAGCAGAAAAATAAACCCATATAGGCACTGAATAAGCTTGAATTAATTTTAATAAAATACATTTAATTAATAAAACGAAATGCATGATGATTAAATCCCTTAAAATATTACCATGATAACTATCATCTCCACCAAATAAACTCAATATAACCCTTGCAAAAACTTTTTTCCTTATCTGCATTTTTTTTTTTTGCCATTAATTTGATACAATTGCCGTATACAAAACAGATTTTGAAAAACAAAAAAAAACTGTAGAACTTGCAGCAAACCTATAGTAACACATTCAAATATGCCAAAAGAAGCGCATGTGCAAATATGAACTTGCTGTAATTTGTGGCAAAATCAGTATATTTTGGTAAGGGTAACCACAGCTGAAAAAATAAATAAATGACAAATCTGTGGTGTTTTAGCAGATTTCCTTGCATAAGCGACCTTACAGAGTGGCATTTTTCAAACTGAACTTTTCTAAGTGATAACTGTAATCTATAGGACTTTCTTTATGCATATCAGAAAATTTGTTGTTTGCACAACCATACATTATTTCAGCTACCATTAAGAAGCTACTGAGTGCTAAACATATATCAAGCATGCATGATTCAGTAGAAAATTCCTTGTGTTTTGGTGACTGAATGCTTATTGAAGCAACAGTGTCATCAGAGCATCTGTTGTGGTTCACTGAGGGCAACATTATAAACTTGAAGATTAAAGATATTTTATTTTTATTAGAGATGTTTGGATTGTTATTTTATTTTATTGTTTTATTTTTATTAAATGCTCATAATAACATTTTATGTGATAAAAAATAAAATAAAAACACAAAAATAAACACAAAATAATATAAAATAAATATATTTCTTGGTCTTTGGCTTATTTAGTTTACTATAAAGTTGACTAAAATAGCCCAAGAGTTCAAAGCATAATGTTCTCAATGTCTGCCCTTGCTGAACCACAGCAGATGTTTTGATTCTGTTGCTACTATGAGAATCTATACCACCAAAAAACAGGAAAAACATCTCGGCCACATTCCAGAGTGTCGAGTTTCACAATTACTGAACGATATGATGCACATGATGACCTCATGCAGAAGCTATCAGCATCTGCCCACATCATCTCAATACAGGCGTTATACTGTGAAACATATTTGATATAGCGATAAACAAAACATGGGAAAGCACTGAGAAGGAGTGAACAGAATTAGCAGGGTTTTACTGCCAGCGAGCGGTTAGGACCTGGACTCGCCCTTCCTGCAGACGCAGCTGTTACATAATCACAGACGCTCTGCTGCGGATCTGAATGTGTGCTGCCGTTATAACAGCAGTGTGTGTGTGTGTGTGTTTATACCTTGTACTTGTTTGACACAGTTCAGTGCATAGTTCAGTGCCTCTACAGTACTGGCTTTACTGCGGCTTCTCTTCTCAGACGGCAGCCGTTTCTTCATCTCCTGCACCGTCTGCATCATCTCTCGGTGCGTCTGCTCACTGCACATGCACACATTTGTTTTCATTCACTCATTCAACATGTTTGTTTGAATTTTAACCTAATATTAATTCATTATAATGGAAGCCCATTTCTGCCACATAAGAAAAAAATCTAAATGATGACAAAAAGTTGAAATTATGAGATACGAAGTCATGATTTTGAGATAAAAAGTTGACAATTTTACTTCATAATTGTGACTTTTTATATAATAATAATTTCAACTTTTTGGTAATTTATCTAATAATTATGACATAAAAGTCATAACTTTGAAAAAAATTCAGCTTGTTTCAATTATGAATTTATCTCAATTTTATCATTTTACCAAGCATGATTTTATGTGAAAATATTTGAAAAGTAATTAATACTTTTATGGAATAATTATGGGGTTTTATCTAATAATGATACATTTTTGTTATTTTTTCTCATAACTGATGTGTCAATTTTGACTTATCTCATAAAAAGTAATTAAAAGTAAAAAAACAACAACTTTTAATGTAATAATTATGATTTTTTTTTTGTTTAATTTTAACTTAGTATCTTATCATTACGACTATTTATTTCAGAATTATGATTTAACAAAGCATTATTTTGTTATTTTGGCAAATAATGATCACTTTTTATCTTGTAATTTAAACCTTTTGTCAATTTATCTCATAATTGACAGTGTGTCAGTTTCTACTTTTAATTTCATAAAGTCATAATTATGACGTAAAAATGTCAACTTTTAATGTCATAATTGACTTTTTATCTCATAAAATGAAATAATTATGACATATCAACTTTTAATATTATAAGTGTGACTTTATCTCATAATTTCAACTTTTTATGTCAGAATTATTATTTAACAAAGCATAATTTTGTTATGTGGTGAAAATTTCTATGATAATTATAACTTTTTTGCCTTGTAATTTCAGCTTTTTCTCTATTTATCTCATAATTGACTTAGTGTGTCAATTTCGGCTTTTAATCTCATAAAAAGTCATAATTATGACACACATTTCAGCTTTTAAATGTCATAATAATGACTTATTTACTTTTTTTTTATTGGTTAAACAAAGCAGGGTTTTGTTTTCTTATGTGGCAGAATTGGGCTTCCATAATTATAATAACTATATGGGTGTAGAAATTATTTGAAAAGTGAAGGGACTTTTATACACATAATGAAAATAGTTACATTAACATTTGATTTCAACACTAGAAAGTTTCATCCTTTACAATTGAACAAATTTTTTTGTGTGTTTTGCATGCATCTTTCTTTACAATAAATGACACTTTGCTATCCATTTTGAATCTAATACAACAACATTTTTAAGTGTTCAAATACGTTTTAAGAGCACTGTATGATCCATGACATTAATGCATATCTGCCAATACAAATGGGAGTTTCGTTACCGCAAAATTTCAGTTCTAATGCAAATATGTGGTTGTGACGGTTTGAGGTGGGTTAGTTTACCTGCACTCAGTGTGATGAGCGCTATGAAAGCTGGATGATGACGAACCAGTGGCAGATTTTGAGCTGAAGACACAAAGAGATGAAGAAGAACTTGACTTGACCAGAAGTCTAATTTTATACACAAAATGCATACAAGCTGGTCTAGAAGACAGTTTCAATTAGAACTGCGCTTTCAAAGATTTCTTAAAACTTTTTAATCAGGAAGAAAGAAAACACTCAAATGGACTTGTTAAAGTAGACTACTCACGATTAGGGGTTTATTCAAATCACAAACCCTCAGCATGAGCATTAATAATAGTGATTGTTGAACCTCTTGGTGCTTCCTGATCCCGTGGTGCTTCCAGGGCTGCAATTGGCTGAGGAGTGATGATGTCGTGACCCACCAACGCTGTCGTTTCCGCTGCTGGAGTCGTGGCCGCTGTTCATGTCCACATCCTCGTGCGTCTGCTCTCCTCCGCTCTCCTCACACCCCGCTGAGCTTTCCCCTCTGCTGGTTCTTCCTCGCTGCTCCTCAGCCTCCTCCTCAACTGATCCGGATCCGCTGGTCCCGGGGTCCTGCCCGCTGTTAGTTTGGTCCGTCTGCCCCGCACGCTTGCTGGAGCCTGGAGAAGAGTTCTCCTCTTCTCCATCGGGAAAGCTGTCTCCTCCCGGCATTCCCTGCTGCAAGTTCTCCTCCGACTGCTGCCCACCTCTACTGAAGCTCTGATCCGCAATCTAGATGCTCTGCTGCTTTTGTCCACATCAACAATGAAGGTCTATAGAGAGATCCATGAGGATGATGTTTTACTAGATGCTTACGTAGAGTCTTCCATTGAAAGAACTGCAAAAGGAACATGGATAAAATAAATAAAGTTTGTGTGTGTGTGTGTGCATTTATACATATATATATATATATATATATACATACAGTATCTCACAGAAGTGAGTACACCCCTCACATTTTTGTAAATATTTTATTATATCTTTTCATGTGACAACACTGAAGAAATGACACTTTGCTACAATGTAAAGTAGTGAGTGTACAGCTTGTATAACAGTGTAAATTTGCTGTCCCTGTCAAAATAACTCAACACACAGCCATTAATGTCTTTTACGCCATCTTTATGTAGAGCATCAATTCTTCTTTTCAGATCCTCAGAGAGTTCTTTGCCATGAGGTGCCATGTTGAACTTCCAGTGACCAGTATGAGAGAGTGAGAGCGATAACACCAAATTTAACACACCTGCTCCCCATTCACACCTGAGACCTTGTAACACTAATGAGTCACTTGACACCGGGGAGAGAAAATGGCTAATTGGGCCCAATTTGGACAATTTCACTGTATGCGCGACACATACATCCTGCGTCATCCGCCAGAACGCCTTCCGCTTGTTTGAAATATGGATATTTTTCTTACAAAAACACAATAATTCGCTACAGGAGGCCTTTATTCACCCCCCAGAGCCATATGAGGCATGTTTTATTATGGATGCGTGCGCTTTATTTGACGACTTGTGGACTGTTCAACTGCAACACCCGCTGACTGCAATGATAGAGCTTGGAATAGCCAGGACAATTTTTAATATAACTCCGACTGGATTCATCTGAAAGAAGAAAGTCATATACACCTAGGATGCCTTGAAGGTGAGTAAAACACAGGCTAATTTTCATTTTTGGGTGAACTAACCCTTTAAGCTTTTCAGAGCTCTGAATATATAGTGGGAGGTTACCTACACTGTCTAGTACAAAAAAGCAGGAAAACAACACATTCACCACATTTCATCTCATTAACTACTGGAATTATTGTATAATGGGGTGTTGATTTGCACATGCAGCACAAGATGTCCAAGTGTGAACATAATCATATCAGCTTTCAAGCTCAAAAACAACACAAAAGCCCAAAGGTGTCTCAGACAGAAAGATTCATAACACATATTATACAACTGTCTGGCTTTATTCAGGACGCTAATATTACACACTCCTAACAGTTACAGTAAGGGTTAATCCAGCTAAATATTTTATAAACTTTATTGGTCATCTTTGTCCAAAGTGCCTCATAAGTACAAGTGTTTTACACAATAATAAAATATTTGAACCGACAACCTTCAGACTGCATTTTTACAATTTTCGCAGATAATTTGTATTATTTGTATGGCAAAAACTGTAAGTCTGATTACTTGTATACATATGCACCAAAGTTTAATATTTCAGGTTATGGATTTGTTCTGGCTTCACAAACATTACTAGATTCCAGGCCAGATCATTTAAATCAATTTTTTTGTGCCTGCATATCTGTTACGGTGTTAACGTCACACTTTCTATATTGTAGGGTCGTGACCTGTCTGTGTAATGACTGCTGCCGTTTGTACAGAGACTCTGACGCAGTCATTCTCAAAATAGGCCGTGTCAGAGTAGGACTGGGTCCGGTATTAAAACTACAAAATAGACTTTCTGAACCCTGATTGTGCACAATTCAGACTGACCTCTCTGCTCATTTTAAAGCACACAGGATTCAGTTAGAAACGGTCCAAAACAAGTTCTAGGCAGGCTTTTTATAGTTAACTAAAACTGAAACCAAAAAACAAATTTTGTTATTTAAAATAAAAGAAACATTAACTGAAATAAAATAAAATTTATAAAAACTTATTTCAGCATTCTCATTTTCATTTAGTTTATCCTGATGTACAAAAATAACTAAAATAAAAATGTATAAACTATATAGATAGACTATATATTAGAAAATATATAGATTCAAAAATTAAATTAAAAATTTAAAAAATATTTAATAGAATAAAAATAAAAAATAATTAACATTTTTAAAAAAAATTTTTACATTTATTTATGTATTTTTTGCTATTCTCCCTGACTCAAGAGTTAAATATCGTCCACCTATATATGCACAGTTTTTTGGACATTTTTGAATAAGGTAAAACTTGAAAATGCACTTAAGCAAAACAGGGCGGCGGCAATCGGTGCCTTCAGTAATGCATTATGATTACATATGTGATTATATAATACAGGTCACGTATACACATTCATTTCTTTGTCATTCACATTTATGCACAACTGTTTCTTTATCATATCTCATGTCTTTACTACAAAAAGCGATATGGGATCTTTTGCAACAGGTAATAATCTTTATGTACACTGTATACGACTGTGAACCATAAAACGCTACATGTATCTTTACTTTACAACTTTTTTTACATAGTAAAAAGCTAAGATAAGCTGAAACATGTCCTCAGGTTACAGACCAGACAGAGTGAAACTCCTTGTGTTCTGGAGAGTCAACTGTAAGCTAAATAGCACTGGGACTTCAAAAAGGAGTAGACAGACAAATAGACAGAATACAAGCTTTAAAGCAGAAGTGTGTCATTGTTCTGCAACAATGCAGAAATAAAGACTTTTTAAACAGGTTTCCCAGACAGCCCCGCTCCAAACTCATTTAAAACTCAAGTCAGTGCTGCTATTGAGCTGGTTGAGATGGAAACGCTCAGCTTAAAGCACCAGTATCTACAACTATTTTTTTTTAGTATCTATCTACCTACCTACCCCTCTCTCTCTCTCGGTCTCTATATATATATAAGGGGTGTAATGGTCCACGTATTCGAACCGAAAAATTTCAGTATAGGTTTTTTGGTTCGTTTGTTACGCATGTGTAGTGAACAAATACAGCATTGTTTTTAACCACTGCACGAGTGGAACTTCATTGTATTGTTACTTTCGATAAGTTTCAATCAGTGTTTCAACCACGGAAAGACATCAGCAAAAAATGTCACATATCATTTCATTAACCTCAGGCAAGTCATCAGTGTCCACAGCTCGTTAGTTCGGTAGAGCAATGAAGTCTAGAGAAGAGCATTTTGAGAAATATTAGACTATATACTTCTTATACTATATACTTCATTATATTTTACTTTACCTGTTAGTGATGTCTTAATTATTAAAACATAAAGCATACTTAAAGCCTTTATGTATAATGCATTATAACAGTTAGCTTATAAATTCATTGTTACACTATGCATTTTAAATTCGGTTATAATTATGACAAGATATAATGTATTACAACGCACATTATGAATAAGTATAATGCATTATTCCCCTTAATAACCCTTTATAATGCATTATACATATCGGCTTTAAGTAAAGTGTTAACAAAAACATTATTTTGCATTCTCTAATGGATGATATTATTGATATTTGGCCACATTTTCCCTCACAATTGCCTGATTATCTGACAACAAGCCTTGCCAAATTAAGAGTGTCAGTTTCACCGATATCTTGATAATGTGCAGTTTCTCGAAATATGGAATTTCAGTAAATATTGCATGAAATATTTGTTCAAAGCTGCATTCGTTTGCATCTGCATCACCCTGCCTTCTAATTACCTGCATCATCCATGGGAAAATCCATAACAGTTGACCACACATTTCCATGACTGTGTAAATTAACATTGTTTAAATAGGATACAGGTGGTTATACACTATCAATATCAAATGTTCAATAATAAACGATAACAAAATACTTTCCTGGCTCATTCATAAGACTCCTCTAAGTTCTGAAGAATCACCTTAAAGGGGTCATATAATGTTGCTAAAAGGAACATTCTTTATGCACCAAGAGCTTGTAACACTCCAAAGAGAAAGGAAAAATTGAAATCGCATCATATGACCCCTTTAAGTAGTGAAACACCTACGATAACTCATTCTAGCTCGTGCAAATGTACATACTATTTTGATATTAAGCAACTACAGACCCCCACTATCTGACTTGACCTATTAAAACACCATTTAGGATTCACTTAAGAAAAAAACAAACATCCTCCATAGTTTCCAAAATCCTAACAAACCCACAAGAATAACACTCTGTGTGATACTCGCCTCCACCATCGCACATGCACGGCCACGAGTCTGCTTAAAGATATCCACGTAAACCCGTCTGACTCGTGCATCTCACACAGACCAGCGAACATGACAAAAAACATACACTTTTGAGTGAAATACAAGTTATTTCTTTTAGCATGTAACAAGTCAGACGGGCAGTGTGCGGCAGTGGAGTTGTTTAAAGGCACGTCTGTGGTTGTTCAGGAAAGGCTCTTTTGTCTTGTTGGCCCAGAAAGACTCTTGACGCGGCCAAAACAAGAGTGTCTGATCACAGCCGTCCATTACAAGAGTCCATGAGGGATTCATCAATGAGATCAGATGTTGGCAAATGGCTTTCACAAAAAGAGTTTTGGTCAATATGTTTTGGCCTCATGTTATCATGAAAGCATGCGTGTTATGGTTATGGATCATTTTGTAACCTGTACACTTTCAAGTCATTTGCACAGAGGAGTGTGTTAGATGTATTTGGAAATAGCATTCAGGAACATATTCAAATCCTAGTCATTAAAAACAAAACCTATAAAAAGAAAACCAACATTGAGGATAGTTTACAAGATATGCTTTTGAAAATCAGCAGGTTAGAACGTATTGGAAGAGCATGCATTCATTATCTCTCTCTTCTTTCTGAAGTTGATACTCCTTCATATCCTGTTCTTCTCCTCCAATCATAACCGGATTTCTGTCTTTATGACAGCGACCAGACTGAAAGAGAAATAAAGAGCAGGGTTCGAATTAGTTTAAAATGAACATACTTTCATTAAACTACTATGTATTTAATAATCAAATAAATTCTTCAAACTCTTAAATCGCAGGGCCGGCATCTCTTGATCAATCTCTCATTTTGTACAACTGCCGCCCATGTAAGGGAGTTAAAGAGGCTGTGAACACTTTGATACTTACTGATAATGATGACAATAATGATCAAAACCACAGCTATCAAAATGGCCCACATCTGTAAAGACAACAAACAAATACACTTTGTCATATGATGCTTTAAGTTCAAATGTTATCCATTTTTCAGATTAATCTTCTTGATAGGGATAGCATTTTATTTCATCTTGATTTTTCACAACTTGTGTGCTTGTCCTGGGTGAGTTGAAGTGAACTGTGGCGCTATAGAGTTTCAATAAAGTGAAGTCGTACACAGAGACAAACGGCCAAGTCAAGATTTTCCTTTAATAACGTTAAATTTCCGTTTGTTTCTCACCAAACCCTATTGCATACACGCACAACACTTGGAATACAGCACATGTTGCATGGGACTACTCTGTGATACTTTTGCGCCTTTTTATATTTTTGGTATAGAAATATTTTTCTTGTTTTTTTAAATGTAAATGCAATGACCTTTAGCCAATTCAATAGGCTTAAAATGTCTTATTTTTAAACACTACTCTGTGATACTTTTGCGCCTTTTTATATTTTTGGTATAGAAATATTTTTCTTGTTTTTTAAATGTAAATGCAATGACCTTTAGCCAATTCAATAGGCTTAAAATGTCTTATTTTTAAACGTATTTCTTAATATGACCTTTTGTAAGCACAAAAACTAATCTCAATGTATTTTAACAATAAGATATGAAATGATCAGTTGCATAATAATGTCTTTGTTTTTGCATATGAGCTTATTGGAAACTAAGGAAATGTTATATTAGAGAGTTATATTATAGTTAAATGTTATACTTATATTACAGATGCACAAAGAACAAAAAATAAATAAATAGGGACCAAATTTTCTGGAAAATACCCAATCATCTCTGAAGCCTTCATATTTAAAGAATGGATTTAAACTAAATGAGATATGAGAAAAATGATATGGTCTCTCGTGTGCATCTTTGTCTTACCTTGCAGTTCTTCCACCAGTATTTCCTCTTGAGTTTGGCAGCGCTGGTCTCAAACTGGGAAGCACCGGCCTGCAGGGCATCGGCACGATCGTCCAAATCGGACAGCTTCTGGTCTCGTTCCAGGACCTTATCGACATTCACTCTCATGATGTCCACCACCTAGAGGAACGAGAGGATTCCCGTAACAGGATTCTTTGAAAAACTAGGAACAGTGTTGCTAAGTGCTGGAAAAGTAATCAAGGTGAAGGAATCGTGCCATGCGTGTAAACAAACAGCTGTTTGAACACCAGTGCAGGTCTATTAATCGGTTTAAATATGTGAGACTTTTGGCAGGATGGCTGGAGACTTCTTAAAACCAGACGGGCAGCAGGAACATGTAATTTAATGGTCAGCATTTTAAACTAACAGCACTGAGAGAAACACAGCATCACAACCTGATAGAACACGTTTCCAGCAACAGTTGTCTGTTCGCACTGCAAGCAAAAATGCTACGGGACAACAAAATCACAGCAAATCTGACCATATTTGATATAAAGTAGGATAGAGTAGATAGACTTTGGACCAATGAGATTTCATAGAACTAGGGCTGCCACTAACGACCATTTTTATTTCGATTAATCTATCGACTAATTTATCGATTAATCTAAACGATTAATTTCCCCACAAAAAATCAACAATTTTACTTAAGAATAGTTTATTAAACTATATTTTATTAAACCAAATTAAATCCAAATTTCTATGAAATCCTTTTTTTTTTTTAAGCAAAAGTAAAGTGCAACAGAGTGCAAGAAGCAAGTGTCCATCTCATAGTCCAAATCACTGAAATCAAAGTTCAGTATTATAGTGTAAGAATGACAACATATCCACGTGTTCTAGTCTACTAATAATAAAATTATAACCAAAAGACACTTTTTAAAGGAGTATTTACCAGAATTTATTTAGGAGAAAATGTAAATGTGCAGTATTTTTTGAAATATCAATTAATTTGAGATGCTTTTGATTATTAAAATTTAATGGAACCATTAAAATGGAATCCAGAAAATAATGGAAAACTGCATTTGGTAAAGATAAAACTGTAAAACTCAATTAATTAGACAGGCTTTTTGATTAAACTACTGTGAACGCAGCCGCTGAGTGACGCATGTACTTAACCTACACACATGTAAATAATTAAAGCGCATATACTGTATTTTGCTGGTTAGTCGATGCGAGCAAAATGAAGTCGAGGATTTTTAAAAATCAAATAGTGAGCCCTACATAGAACTACCTACTTACCTAAGACAAATGTTCTGTTGCTGGTAAAAACAACAAAAAGTGAATACAAAATACACTTATATACTTTGAGGAAAGATTTGTCCACCTTGGTCAAGGCTAGATAAACATTTTCTTAGGATTATCCAACATTTAGGAAACCAGTCTGTGCCAGAGTTATTATAGTTTGGTCTATAAACACATCCAGCATCTGCAGCTTTGTGACTGTTAGTCCTGTCAGCTTATACATTAGATAGATAGATAGATAGATAGATAGATAAAGTTTTGCATGTCCATGGGTCAATATATAAACTCTTCTTGACTTCATGAGAATCAATTAGTTTTCCTACTGGGATGAATTTAATGCATTTTTTTTCAGACTAAATTAGCGGTAACACTTCGAGCTACTCAAAATGGAGTAAAAGATTTGTTTTGAGTTAATGTATTTCTGATTAAATGTTTATCAAAAACATAAGCCCTAGAGAATAACATCATATCCTGTTGCTTATATTCGATGTGATCAATCCTTACGTCTTCAGCAGATGTGTTAAGTAATGGAAAGCATGAAAAATCCCGTTATAATAGAATTACATAAAGTCAATGGCAACAGCACACAAACATAGCCTCCTCATATATGCTCTAGTGCTCCACAAACCCTGTTGCAGGATGATGTAGCACCGCCCCTTTAAGAGAGAACCGTGTGGGGGGAGCCAGCGTGTGCAGATCCATGTTTCACTTGCATAACCATAGTGACGGGGCGTTACATAACCGGCCGGCAGCCTATGAGCTCACGCCAGACTGAACGGAAGACGTCTGACGGAAGAGGTCAACGGGTGTACAGTGCGCAGAGACCTACATATGTCCTGGTATAAATTTCCTTGAACAGAAATCATGAATATGACCGCGGTGAACTACAGAAGAGATATGGAAAAACTGCTGACGGATTATGCTGCATACTTTAGGGAGGAGTCGCACAGAAAGAAAAGAGAGACAGAGAGAGTGAAAGAGAAAGTAGCACCTTCTGTAACATATGCAATTTAAATGCCATAGAATTTACCTTAAATCAAATGTTGAAATGTAATATATGTATGTATACATATATACACAAACACTACCAGTTTGGGTTGGTAGGATTTTACTTTTATGTTTTTGAAAGAAGTCTCTTGTGCTCACCAAGGCTGCATTTATTTGATTAAAAATATATTGGATGGAGATTTACTACTAATCACAGAAACGGCTTTACTGACGAGATGCTTATGACAATCGCATGCAATTTATCGTGCAGACCTACATAAGGGTCAATTTTTTAAAATTGAGATGTATATATACACATGAATAAATAAGCTTTCCATTGATGTATGGTTTGTTAGGATAGGACAATATTTGGCTGAGATCCAACCATTTGAAAATCTGGAATCTGAGGGTTAAAAAAAAAACAAATATTGAGAAAATCACCTATAAAGTTATCGAAATGAAGTTCTTAGCAATGCATATTACTAATTAAATTAAGTTTTAAAATTTACAAAATATCTTCATGGAACATGATCTTTACTTAATATACTAATGATTTTTGGCATAAAAGAAAAATTGATTATTTTTACCCACACAATGTATTGTTGGCTTTTGCTACAAATATACCTGTGCTTAGGGATGCACGATATATCGGCCGCCATATCGGTATCAGCCAATAAATGTGAATTTTTTCTGTTATCATTATTTTTACCCACACAATGTATTGTTGGCTTTTGCTACAAATATACCTGTGCTTAGGGATGCACGATATATCGGCCGCCATATCGGTATCAGCCAATAAATGTGAATTTTTTCTGTTATCAGTATCGGCCCGATAAGAAAATTTGGCCGATATATTAAAGCCGATAAATAATGCATTATTTCCTTCAGAGACAATTCAGATGCGCGCTGTTCACCATGATGGTTTTGAAATACTTGAAATATGATTGGAATCACTTCGAAAAGGACAATACACTTATGTGCAACATGTGCAGGGCAAGTCGGTCATAAAGGCTACATAAAATTATTATGTGAACATTACTGTAAATAATGTTGTGGAATCTTTGTGCGCCCATCCACAACGGAGCTACACCTCCATGACATTTAAGTTTACTTGTGCATTTGCAGCCTTTTGTGCAATTGTACGTTGTAATATTGTGTTTATTTGATGTATATCTGATTTATCTCATATATATAATGTGTTTGGTTAAGTTAAAAGAGCGCTTCAGTTTATCGTGTTCTTTCATCTCTTTAGCTTCAGTGCGCAGCTTGAACAGCAATGCTGCTATTTAAAACAGTGGTATTAATTTGTTACTTTTTCAAAATCATTGATGCATTATTAATAATAACCACCACTTTTATTTTTCTCTTATTATTTTCATCAACAATATGGTTTAGTAATTAAAATCATTTCATTATTGTCCGTACAGAGGCTATTCCGTTTTATTGATCCATGGCTCATGCATTTTGATTCTTTACACGTGTAATGATGTCCAGTGACTTATTTGCATTACGTATGCATTATTTTATTTATTTGTAAGACTTTATGACAAAATTTGGTAATGGGAGAGGGTAAAATTATTTTCAAAACAAACACTGTTCAAACTAGGCTGCTTATGTTGAAGTGTTTGGGATGTGGCTTTTAATGATGAGACCTTTTTTGTAATCAGGCTCTCTTGTAATTTATCGGCCAACATATCGGTTATCGGCTTTCAAATATAAAGAATTATCGGGTTATTGGTATCGGCCAAAATTTTCATATCGGTACCTGTGCTACTTATGACTGGTTTTGTGCTCCAGGGTCATATATCATTATAGCTTTACAGTGATAATATCATGTCATGTCTGCAACGGTCTAAAAGCTCATTTAAATATTCAATGAGCACATTAGTCACTGTACATCTTGTAACTGTCATCAGTTGTCCTATGATTATGTAACTGTTCACATCACAAAGGAACCATCCCTGAGAAGATCGCATCACACTGATAGACGGAAGTCAAGTCGACTATTTACGGCCATCCATCCAAGAACACTGGGAAATGGTGTCAGGTGTGTCCTCTTACCTCATCCACCTGTGCCTGCGTCTGCTGCAGCCTGTGGTTACTCCCAGACATCCCAGCAGAACCAGAGCCATCTGCACTCGGGGCGGACCTATGACACAGAGAGAAAACCGTATTACATTTCACATTTTATTGAAAAAAAAAAAGACATCAGGTTAGCTGGAATAGTCCTGGCAAACAAAAGAAAGACTTGAGCAGCCAGTATTTAATTTTTTAAGTGAAGAAGGTATAGCATAACATACTCTTTACTTGCTGCTAATGTGATTTGGGCTGTGTATTGTAAGATGATTTAGTCACAAAGCATCTGTTAAGCACATAAACGTCCTGTTATGTCATTCTAATAGAAATCTAGTGTGGCAAACAGCATTTGATATTGTACTGCCACCTAGTGGCACAGTGACTGCACTTTTAAATAAGGTTTCAAAAGGGAGGCCACAGCATGACTGCCATAGAACCAGTTTTGGTTTCCTTCAGTGAACAGTTCTTAAAATCTTTAGTGAAAGAGCCTTTTTCCTCTATATAGAACCTTTTGGAATAGATATGTTCTATGGATATTAAAGGTTCTTTATAGGACCACAGAGGCCAATAAGGAACCTTTATTTTTTAAAAGTATGCATTTGCACAAGACACGTAAACAAACATGAAGTGCTCTTTTCAACAAACACTTATGAAAGAGGAAGTACAGGTAAGACCACAAAGTGGTGTGAAAAAACACCAGAAAAGAAAACAGAAGGTATAACATTCAACAAAATCAAACTGTAAACATCTAAAAACACACTGTGAACAAGTTTATAATGAAAGCCTATTGAAACCGTCATATATATGCAAACAGCATAAACAGATTTCCACTGACTTTGGCTTGATTCTGATTTACAGCGGCCCAAAAAGTATTTGCACATTTAAGACTGAAAATAATTGCATTAGATATCAAAATCTCTCATCACAATGTTGCACAATTAACTGAGCCATTTTTGCTTAATGACTTTTAATCTGGTGTCAACGTGTCTGTCGAGTTTATTTCAGATTACATTAGTAAAAGAAAATCACAATCATGTGAAAGGCCTCGAGCCAGACTTCGCTCCCGTCTAATGCTGTGGATAAAATTTTAAACCTTCTTAGAATAAAGACAGTAAGAGAGAACCACCAGGAGCAAAGACAAACACACACATTACACAACCAGACGGGGAAGGTTCCATAAACCTTCAGATCATGTGATCGAGGCAGAAATCTCACTGCTCAAATCCCCCAGCAGTATGACACAATACATGCTTTTCTAAATGAATATTACACAAATCCCACCTCCATTTATTAAGGTGTAAAACAGACACTTCATCACAAACTGACACTTTATTTTTAAATAACAGAAAAATCTATTTAAAAAAAAAAAAGTACTCTCCCTCAGACCATCCAAGATTTAGATGAGTTTGTTTCTTCATGGGAACAGATTTGGGGAAATTTAGCATTACATCACTTGCTCACCAATGGATCCTCTGCAGTGAATGGGTGCCATCAGAATGAGTGTCCAAACAGCTGATAAAAACATCACAATAATCCACAAGTAGGCTAATCCACACTCCAGTCCGTTAGATTAATGTTTTGTGAAGTGAAAAACTGCTTGTTTTTTTTTAATTCATCAAGACATTTTAACTTTAAGCTCTCGGTTCTGGCCAAAATGCTAGTCCATAATTCATAATCAAGAAATAAAGGCTTGAAATATTTCACTCTATGTGTAATGAATCTATATAATATATGGGTTTCACTTTCTGAAATGAGTGACAAAAAATATTGACCCTTTTCATGATATTATAATTTTTTTAGATGTACCTGTAGACGCTGCAGCTCTGTATTTTTTCAGCATCACAGACAGAAGGTCAGTATCAGTACGTAAACAAACGGCTGTCAGTGGAATAGATGATGTCCTTTTTTGATGAGAGTTTATCAGTCTCTTAAGAGGTGTAGCATAACCTATATACACAGCACAATTTCCACTTGTTAATTGCAACATGACAAAGATGAAGAGGTGTTCAACCTCTGAATGACTGTTTACATCTGTGCACTGATCTGTATGTGATTCAGAAAGGGACAGAAACACAAAACGTTCAATATAAGGTCACAAATGTCTCAAAACATATGCGTTTCCTCACTAGTACCATAGAAGGTGTATAGTTTATAACTAATATTCATTAAACCAATAACACCATCATAAAGCAATGCTTAATATGCATTTAATATGAACATATAACATTCAATCAAAGTACATTATTTATCTATTAAGCATCATATAAAATTGTTTTTAGCTGATTAGAGCTAAAATGTTTAAATTACGTGGGGAAGGAAATTATTCTCATGTAAACATCCTAACCAACAGGTTAAAACATATTTGACTAAATATGAATATTGTTCTTATAATTATTATACACGTAGGCCTATATAAAGTTACTGTTTATATTTGCAGTTCATCGTATGTCACCAAAAATACCAGTCTATAACCTTATTTAAATTAAATTATATGAAATGATCTTCAGTTAGGCAAATTTAACGTTAACTGTTTATTTTATTAATCGTTTTAAGTTTTCGCCGCAACTTTGCTATCGGCACATAATATTCGCATTCCAGTCATAACAGACAATAAGTGTACTAATGCAAGCCACATCTATTATTATTATTACTATGGCAAAATGTCTATAGTTCGAGTATGTTTCGAGTTTCAACTTCCCACAAACTTTGTTATCAGTCAGAAACAAACTGTTAGCCATTAGCATATAGCGGTTATAGAAACACACCCAAACTCTTTAAAACTCTCGAATTAACGATAAACTTAACTGACAGCGTAATATCCACTAATCCCAACTAGAATGGGCTGGAATTAAAGATCGAAAATGAATAAAAGTCGAGATCAAGCCAGGAAACTAACGCTAAGCTAACTTGTTGCTTTAGCCGCATTCACACCCATTAGCACAACACAAACTTTACAAACACACTCGGTAGGACTGATATTCACCGATATTCAGGAACATATATAAAACACGATACAACACATGGGTGTATGAAATCATTGAGTTTGTGTGAGTGATGGTTGTGTAGTTTTACTTACATGCTCGATAGTTGAGTTGATGTGTGATTTGTGAAGGCCCCGCTGATACTAAATGCTGCTATTGTGAGTGCGCACAGAGGGAGGGGACTTCAGACACAGTGACTTTTCATATTAGTATTTGCATTAAATACTCATGAATATATAAATGGATATTCAGATAAAAACTATAATATTTTGGATACTATATTGCTAGTTTCTAGTTTTCTATAAAATAATAAATTAATATAAAAAAATATGTAAATAAAGGCTTATATTTAACAAAAAGAATTAAAACGATTATAATTATATAAATATAAAATATAAATGTAATTATAATACAATAGAATGTTCAGAACATTCTATAATAGAATGTTTCTGTAATGTTATAAATATAGAATTTATAATGGTAAACTTTTTTTTTTTTTTTATCTTGTCAGTAATGAGAAAGGAACTGAGATTGTTTGTTTTTTATGAACTTTCAGAGCAGAGGGAGTTCAGAAATTATATTATGGAAAGAAAAACAGAAAGTTGCAGAGAACAGGAACAACAAGAGCACCATTTCGTTTAAGATTTTATTTTACAGCAGAAATTATATAAAGCATTCAGAAAACATTTTCCATATTTTAAGGGCAATTCAAAATATTTTGCATGGCTTCAGCAGCTGAATATTTATTTATTTATTTTTTTTAAACATATCCAACAATTCAGTGATGCTCTCACATGCACAGTTACAAAACAAAAATAATAATAATAATAAAAATATATCTAAGTAAATAAATAAAACTCACAAGAAGGACAGAAAGAGGGAGACGGCCGAGAAAGCAGCACATGAGGCAAAACTCATCAGAGGAGGAAAGGAGGAGGAAGATACGAGGAGCACAAAGCAGGTATGAAGGAGAAAGAGAGCGAGAGAGAGAGAGAGAGAGAGAGAGAGAGAGAGAGAGGGGAAAACAGAGGTCTAATACTAGCTTCACATGCAGAGTGTTGAAAGCCCACTGCCTTGTAAGAAATATGGGCTCATATTTTATCTTTTTTTTCTATTCTTCATTTTAAAATGATGAAAACGTGCATTAGGGCTGGGAAATATGAAATCAATGTCAACAGACCACTGAACACCTCTCTCTGTGTACCTGTAATTGCATAAGAGGAAGTGAACTAAGCATGTCCCAATGTTTTTTCTTTCTTTCTATTTTTATTATTTTTTTTATGTTTGACTTATCCATATTCTTTCAACCTAAAGAGCTTGCCTAAAACAAAGTGTTTATTGCTGTGTACTTGTAAGTGAAAAGCTTATAATCGAGTGGTTTTTCAGTTCTGTTTAAGCCTAACCTGCAGTTCCGGAGTTCCAAAGAGAGGATTTAGGACATCGTACAAACTTCCAACTGCACCAGTATTGTTTTCCCTCGTTTTGCTGTAACCTTCATTGTGGTCTCATGTGGTCATCCGTCGAGATAAAGCACACACACAGACGCGCTTACAACGTACCAGGGCTTGGAGAGGGAATTCAACTCGGATTATGAGCTGTACAAAGTGCATATTTCTCTTATCTGACACAAAAATACGCAAAGCATGATCCGGATGCACGTATGCTGAGCTGTTTCATAAGAGGACGGGATCTCCCACCTTATTCTGAAGGTATTTGGCGCTGAGGTATACTTATGCATTCCCAATCCCATGGGGATATGGCAATACTAAACGAGCAGTGATACCTTCACGAACAATGATGCCTGCTCAGTTTTGGAAAAATGGTCTAAAAACTCTACAAACATACAGTCTATCCTGTTACCCGAGTGGCGGTCTGTCTCTGAAAGCAGTGGTTTTGTAACAAAGCGAACGTACATATGGAATTACATATTCCCAGTGGTTTCTCCTGTTGATTCTGAGCTGAACCTGGAGACTTAACCTAACCTAATCTAGTCTCCATGCTAAACACCATCTCCCTGTTTTAGCACCCTGAGTAAAACTACAAAAGGGAGGCAGATTTTTCCCGTGCTTAAGATGAATGACCCAAACTGAGATACATATACCTGGTGATCCATAAACAGCTTTTCCTGGTGAATACTGAGGACTTTCGCTTATGATTTCCTGAAGTTTCAAGTCGGACGGATGGAAAGGGTGGCCACCTTCGCTTGGAGTTGTGCTCGGACTTGAAACTGATAACCGGATGGAGATATTACATAATGCGCCAACTACACTGAGCGTGTCCTACTTTCCTGGCCCAGTTTAGATCCGACATGGAAAAAGAGAAAGAAAAGTACACAAAATGAAAGAAATAATGAAAGCATGCATAGTACGTTACTGGGTCACTCGAAGTCGCTTTTTGTAGACATAATCAGAATGAGTGGGGGACAAAAAACCCAAAACAAAAGGTGCCTTCTTCACACTCTGTGTCCGTGTTTCAGGAGTGAAAAGGGTGTGAGAGGAGGAAACAGACCTGGGCTTCTGTTTGGACAGTAAAACCAGCCTTAAGCGTTGCATACCGTTAAAAAAAGAGCAACGGGTTCATATGGACTTCTTTAGGAACAACACACTCCTGATATCGGTTGAATGTTTTAGGCACTTTCTATAATAATACTGATACTTAGTCTCTGAGATCATGAGAAAACATTTAACTTCTAAAACAATGGATCTACATGTGGGGAATAGAAATAAAACTACATAGCTAATAATTCAGCAGATAAGCACCACATTCTTTCCTCGCCCTTCCTTTCTTTAACAAGCAAAATGTGCTGGTGTAAGCACGTCATCTGAAATCGCTGGAAGTTTTTGGAAGTTCAGGGGGTCAGTTAGTCTCAAATTTCTTTCAGAGACATTTGTGAAAGACGCTTATTTCCATATAGCTGGCACGAGCGTAAACGAAAAACAAAACGTACAACAGAAATCAATATGATTCGGTGTGACTCAACCATGGGGTTTGGAAAGTTGGTAGCAGCCCCCCAAGAAATGAAGAAACAATCAAAAATAAAGCTATGAACATGGCAGTCGTCGATTCTGATGAGAGTCGAAACATATGTGTTTTGAGCTACATTCACAGTATGTATCCATGACCGTTTTCGTGGCCTCTCAGTGTTTGATTCTAGCATGTAAGCACGTGTATGGGAATCGCCTGCTGGAAATAACCATTCACAACCCTCACGTCAACATCATTTTTAATTACATGACCTACGTTTAACCTCCTGACTCCATCGAATACCATTGTTCATGTTGAGTTCAATACGATAAAATGTGAGTACACTTTCTAGTTATGTTATACAAGACAAAACCGTGGAGACATTTCATCCCCTGTATCGTAGAAACCTCAGCTGTAACTGTTGGGTGTGTGAGTGAAGTTTGGTCATTCAATACTATAGTTCTTCCAATACTTCTCAAAGGAATAGCTTATTTAAGTCCTGTAGCATTCACATGACTGGTCACCATCGGTTAAAACGAAGCAAAACAAAATGCTATTTTATTTCCGCTAACCCTGAAAAAGAAAGATCCTGTTGTGTCTGATGCATTCGTTTGGCTCTTCCGCTAAATCTACGGTTTCATCGTGAATCATGTCATGCTTCAGAGAATGTTCTGTGATAGAACATTTTCCACAAAGTCTTACAGTGAAGTTGTTCAAATCGTATTACAGATCATTGCCACTACATTTTATCTTTACATTATGTTCAATGTCTTAAAGTTTCATGCACATGGCTCCTTCTTCGCAACCAGTATTTACAATATTTACAAACCGTACATCTTGGGCGTTCAAAGAAAACTATACAATATATTTTTTGTTTGTCTCTTAATGTGTTATAATCCAATTTATGAATAAAATACTATATATTCTTAAATACAATCCTCTTCGGAAAAGGTTTCTGGCTATCAATGTTCCTTCACCCATCTTCATATGTACAGGGACCACTTAAATAGTCAAAAATATGGATTTTTTTTTTTTTGAAGCTTCTGTATAGGGACCCTTCAAAAAGTCAAGAAGTCAAGGCAATGTTCAGTGAAACTCCACGGGAAAGCTTGTGGCGGCTTTCTGGAGCTCTTCGAAATCAACCAACAGTAACAATGAAGAAACGTATCACAACACACACGCACACACACAAAAATGGAAGATAACCTTTGCAAATCTACGTTTGGCGCTGTGGCACAATGGATAGTACAGTTCACATTAAAAAAGGTCCATTTTTAAAACAAAGAGTTTTTTAAAACCTTCACACAATAATAAAAAAATGCAATAATGCTAAAGGCAAAAAAAGTAAATAAAGCTAATAAATAAATAAATGAACTATATAAAAATAATGGTCTTTATAACAATATACTCGAAAACAAACAGGCTTATACGGTCTAGTTTGATGGTGCCACAATATCACCAATATGAATGAATGAAAATAAAACACAAAACATTTACATAGCATGCAGGAGCATTTTGCTCAAACACATGCACTGTATCCAGATTCAATTCAACAAACACAGGACACACAAAGTCAGGCCAGCAAAAATGACATTAAGAAAAGGACCCATAAGAAAGTTGAAAACAGTGCACGCGAAACAGTAGCCCAGAGGGCTTCGCTTCAATCCCCCAATTTGTTGTCAGAAGTCCCCTAACACCCATAAAGACAAAGGTAAGACACTGATATTTCAAACCCAGCATTTTTGCCCTGACCCCATCTACATTCATATGAAGGCTTCCCTTTGAATGAACGGACAGCATTTGTCAAAAACAAAGATCTGTGGAGATGAGAGACTGATTTCAAATACTCTGCATGCATATGGTCACTGAAATGAGGCCTTTTTTTGGTTTACATTTTCTAGGTTTTGTTCTTTTTTTTTTTTTTACCCCAAACTGATTGTTGTATTATTTTCCTTTCAAAATATAAAAATGTAACCTTAAGCGGCATCGAGCATGATGTTTTTCTGATGTTGATCTGTTCGTGTTGCGTGATGTTTTACAAGCGCCGGTCGGAATAAAAAGCCTTTGCTCCTTGGTCTTCCTTCGTTTTTTGTAATCTAAAGAAAAAAAATCTATGAAGAGTGCAAAAATGCCATGAAGATACCCAGAGGGCTTCGCTTCAATCCCCCAATTTGTTGTCAGAAGTCCCCTAACACCCATAAAGACAAA